CAGAGGAATGAGACCTAAAGATTTGAGAAAAGGAGGGGGAACCCAAATTAAGTGACAAATTTAGTGACAAAGTTCTGCTATGCAGTCTGGGTGGGAACTACTAAAAATAAGCCCTGTTGTAATACTTGAATCCTGATCTAGACTTCTGATATCCTACAGGTGCTCTAAATCAGTTCTCATACTTTGCTCATTAAAAACACTTGAGACGTTTTCTTCCATTTCCTTAGCGCTGCTATGTGCACATGATTGGGAAAGACTCATACCTAGTTCAATATGCAGAAATAAAATGGTCCCTCAGAAGTGGGATTATACATCCCCAGCATAAATCCTAATTCCCCAGCATGCATCCTAACTCCATAAGGAAATCCCTAATTATGAGACACCCCACAATATACCCCACTGACATTGACACAATCAGAATCATTCCAAGTCACAGACTAACCTCAACACTCTCCTACCTGGAATCCACTGCACTGCTGCTGGGTGTATTCACGCCACGCTAGCAGACTAACGTTAAGGTATCCAAACAAACACCTGACAGACAGCTGACCCCAAAGGATGGAGCACATGAGCTCTCCATGGGCACTGGGCCATCAGGGAACAGTCACACACCATTGTGGTAGCAGGAGCTGAGCAGCACTTGGGACAAAAAAGGCAGGATGCTGCATGGCCAATGTAGCAGAAAAGGAGTCCCGGTTGTCCCAGATGGTAGGTAGGGTTTCCAAAATGTATGGATGTCATCACAGAATCCCAGAATTGCCTTGATTGGAAAAGACCTTTAAGCTCATCAAGTCCAATTATTAACCTCACACTGACAAGTCCCCGACTAACCCATGTCCCTCAGCACTATGTCTACACGACTCTTCAATCCCTCCAGGGATGGGGACTCCACCACTGCCCTGGGCAACCCCTTCCAATGCCTCAGAACCCTTTCAGCAAAGAAATTCTTCCTCACATCCCATCTCAACTGCCCTGGGCACAACTGGAGCCCATTTCCTCTTGACATGTCACTTGTTCCTTGGTTGAACAGACCCACCCCCACCTCTCTCCACCTCCTTTCAGGGAGTTGGAGAGAGTGAGAAGATCTGCCCTGGAGTATGAACTTCCTACACACACATCAATGTGCATGGACAGGCTGCCATGGCTGGAGATATTGTGGTGTAGAGCCAACAGCTTTCTCTTGAGATTGAATGAATTACAGCTCTCATCCAACCTGCTTGTCCCTTATACAGTCTCAGCCTAGCTATGATGTTGTCATAGTTGTCTCAGGTGGTGACAACCATGGGGTAGACCAACTAGCAAACAGCATTACAGACATCCTTCATAAGCCTGAATTCAAGACTGGTAAGAGTCTGGCACAGCCAGCTTTCCAGGGCTCATGCTCATCACCTCTGGAGCTGGCTGAAGAAGAAGAAGAGCATCTGAGATTGCCCAACCCAGGAAGAGCCTGAGATAATGACAGGGTTGATGCAGGCACAGGCACTGTCTTTCCCAAGAGCAATAACATTTCCCCAGGAAGCTGTGGAAAACTTCACTGCCGGGCTGGGTAAAAGCCTTCTAGAGCATGCAGGCACCTAGAAGTCAATGTGGGATTTCTCACTTCCTTTCTCACATGTGAAGAAATGACCAGCAGCCCTGCTGGTCTCATCTGTGCAAGAGCATAGCACAGCCCAGCACAGCCCAGCACAGCCCAGCTGAGCCCTACAGCACCTTGCTCCATCCCACAGGGCACCCACAGTCGATGCTGCCTGTGTACATTCTGACCATTACCCACTGCTCACCCATAGTCCCTGCTTCACCCTGTATTCTGCCTCACTTATGTCTTCAGACACATGCCTGGAGTGTTGTAGAATCATAGAATCTGGTTTGGGTTGGGAGGGACCTTAAAGCTCATCCAGTTCCAACCCCCCTGCCATCAGCAGGGACACCTTCCACTAGACCAGGTTGCTCAAAGCCTCATCCAACCTGGCCTTCAACACTTCCAGGGATCCCCTGTGAGAGGGACATTGCCTATGCCAAGGAAGGCTGCAGGGCACCCCTGGGGAAGGAGGGACTGAGAGAGCACCAGGCAACTCCAAAGGGCTTTGAGCCCAGAAAGTAGACAAACTGTAAAGCACAGAAGCACTTCATTGCTGTTTGTTGTGGAACCTTTTCCCATCAAGGGTCAGTAGGCTGCCTCCAGGGAACATCTGGGGAAACAGGTGCCCCTCAAAGACAGTGCCCATCTCATGGCAACCCAGGAACCATCTACCCCAAAGAGAACAAGGCTACTTGGTACAGATCCTGTGTGATCTGTCAGCCAGCACCCTTTTTCCCACCCTGTAGAGCAGCTCTCATCAGGCTCAGAGCCCTTCCTCATGGTACTTCTGCATGGGCCAGTCTCCTTGCTTAACTGAGTATAAGCTTGTCATGAAGCAGGGATGAGATCTGTTCCCTCTACTTCCCTGGGGTCACATGGAGCCTCCCAGAGCCCATTTAGTGCAAATGCACACTAAAGCCCTCTCTGAGGCAGCGGCAGCCTGGCTTGCAGCGACCATGAGATAGATGGTGGATTTCAGAATCTTATGTGGAAGGTGCAAGCCAATAAGTAGGGTTGCAACCCTGAACTTCAGGAGAGCCAACTTCGACCTCTGTAAGGACCTTCTTGGGGGTATCCCATGGACTAGAGTGATAGAACGTAAGGGGGCCCAAGAGAGTTGGTTAATGCTCAAGTACAACTTCCTCCAAGCCCAAGATCGGTGCATCCCTAAGAGAAAGAAATCAGGCAAGAGTGGCAGGAAACATGCATGGATGAGCAAGGAGCTCATGGAAAAACTCAAAGGGAAGAGGAAGGTCTATGAAATGTGGAAAAAGGGTCCAGCTACTTGGGAGGAATATAGGGATGTGGTCAGGGCCTGCAGGGATGCAACTAGGAAGGCTGAGGCCCACTTGGAATTAAATCTGGCAAAGGAGGTTAAAGACAACAATTTTTATTTTTTTCAAGCATATCAATAACAAAAGGCAGAGCAGGGAAAATG